CTCTCTCTCTCTCTCTCTCTCTCTCTCTCTCTCTCTCTCTCTCTCTCTTTCTTTTTCATCTCTCACACACACGCACGCACGCACGCACGCACGCACACACACACACACACACACACAGGACCCTGTACTTCTTTACTTGTGAGGATCCTTATTGACATAATGCATTCCCTGCTTCCTTACCCTCAACTTAACCATAAACTAAAACTTATTCTAACTTGAACCTTAAAACCAAGTCTGAACCCTCAAACAGGCCTGTTAATGCCTGTCTTAAGGTAAGGACCTACCAAAATGTTCTCATTCTCAAGGTCTAAAATTCAAATTGGTTCTCACAAAGATAAACAACCAAGTATACACTCTGGGCTTTACAAGCTGCAGGCCCAAAATACATGGTTGGCTTCCCTAAAAACTTCCAAAAACTTTGTCACTTCAAAAATGTATTTAATTTATTTAACAGACACAAACATGATTCAAACACTGTTCTAAATTAACTTCATAAAAAAATTGTGAAACATTGTTTCACAGCAGGTAATCAAAGCACAGTTTAGTACAGTTCATCTTAAATCCAGTGCTGTGTACTTCATGCATTCACATACAGTGGTACTCACAGTACAACATGACCCAGCTGTGCTGATCACCGGCACCCATCTATAAATAAATAAGTTAGTGATATGACAACACAACCATCAGGGGATGTTTTTTTTTCTGGTGGCACACCTGCGGAAGTGGAGCAGTGTGGATGAATGAAAAATTAAAACAATAAACACTTTATTTTGGGTGGTAATGCATTACAGGACACTGTAAATGTAATAATATTATGTGAAATTCTGTTAGTAATTTGTTATATTACGTCATCGCTGCTAAAACAGTGATTTTAATGCTTTTGTAACATCTTACTTTTGTAAGCCTCATTACAAGGTGATGGCAATGTAAAAAATATAAAGGTGATGAAGTGCACTCTCTAAACGATCATCTATCATGAGTTTAATGTTCATAAAATGCTTGATTATTAATGGCCTAGTACAGTATTAGGCTATAAAAGTCAACTTGTCTCATGTAAGGCATAAGCACTAGTCACTTATCTTATCAGACCAATCACATCATTATATCCTCAACACAACAGTTATTTCCAGGTGTCTCTCTTTCCTTAGACAGGTTATTTGTCACATTGAGCCATTATTATTATTGGACATTCATTTTCCAATGGACTGCTCTGCTTCAATAGCATCATGGGTTTAGTAAATGTGGTTAGTATGGCCTTTGTGACGCAACAGCAAAAAGAGTGTAAACACACACACACACACACACACACACACACACACACACACACACACATCTGGGACCAGGCTAGGTTAATAAACACTCAGGTCTGAGCACAAAGCAAGTTTGTAAAAAAAAAGTAAAAATTCTATGAAAAGGTTTTAGTCAACTCATTTAAAAAATTAAACCTTTTAAAGTTTTAAATAGAAAGTGAGTTGTTGTATTGTTGTGTGACCTATTAAAAATGAATTGACCTTCACTCTGACACACACTTAGTCTTTCCTTTGACATTCTCACAAGGACAGTACACTCCATTTGTAGCTTGCAGCCTCGCTAAGTTAAGTCTGTAATCAGATGTACATGCTTGACTGACTATCCTCTCTGTGGCAGTTATGCTCTCCATTCTTCTGTGAATGCTGTGTAGGGATAATTATAATAATGATGGTTGTCAAGATGATGACTGTGATGATGATTGACACACCGTTCCCTCTGCCCACAGACTGCCAGAAGACAGTGAGCAGTGTGAAAGCCTTATTCCTCTACACACCGTCTCCCCCAGCGAAGGAAGCTTCTGCTCATGATCCAGCAGTCAAACACAAAGTAAATGATCACTCAGCCACATTGACCTGTGTGTGTGTGCATGTGCATGTGTTTAAGAGGACTCATTATTCAGCTGGGTTGTTTGAATCTTACCCTTTACAAAAAATATAAAAACTCTCAAGCTATTTTTCCTCTTCCAGTTTTAAAGAGGACCTATTTTACTCATTTTCACGTCCATATTTGGATTCTGTCTTAAACACTGTTTTAGTGCCTGTCTCTTTAACCCCCCCATTCTGAAAAAGCCCAGTCTGCTCTAAATGGTCAGCATTTCTGCAGACTCATCATCTCTGCACAGCAATTGCAGCTGCAGAATGACTGTAAAGGAGAATAGTGTCACTTTATTTCATGAAAAGTCATGAATAAAAGCTTCTAAACACAACCGGACATGTTCCAGCAGGAATCTGATCCAAAATTTGGGAGAAATTAACAACATGAGCAACTACGATTACAGGTTTCCCTGATGTTAGCATGTAGCTACATGGTGCAGTGTATGTAATGTAAAGGCTTCCAGTAGCATGCTTGGAGCAGATGATCATATAAAGAAATTTGCCATGATCTGACATCAGCTCTTAGCCAAATTTAAAAAAAACTTTTAAAAACAGTATTCAGAACACTGTAGCCTGAGGTTTTTGCTCACAGAGATTACTTTTATATACGTTTACCTTATTGAATCTTTGGCCATGTTTAAAATAAACATCTAACATTGTAACTCTATATATAAAGTGCGACAACTTCTAATGGTTCTAAGTGTTATTGTGTTGTTAATTAAAATCAATGATGCTTGTTTTTGAAGAATAGTGGATACATTAAATTAAGCCCCTGCTTGATGACTTCGGTAACATTTTAAGTAACTGCATCCTCTATAGTTTGGACAATGTTGAAGCTGCACTAATATATAATTTCTAATGTTAACAAGGGATAAAATCAGTACAAAAAAAAAATGAAAGGGGCCACTCTTAATCACAAACTCTCAGAGAATTGTCACTGACTTCTCTCAGCTTTACAGAGTGTGTTTTTGGCTATTTTTTGTCCAGCAGCTCTACTCAGTCGTGGTTCCTGCAGGCAGCTGTTTTCAGTGAAGCCTCTCTAAAAACCCACTGTGTACTACCTGCCCAGCAACGAATGCCAGAGTCAGGTATTTTTCTTAGGAGTTTGTGGAAAGGAGAGTGAATATTTAGACTAATATTTGTCTGGTGGCCAGAAACATTACTCCAAATGAATGCTAATAATGCTTCATCAAATAGTCATTAGGCAATAGTTTGCAAACAAGCACAGCAACTTCATAAGGTGATAATATGTCACTGTTTTGTGTTCAGCTTGTTCTGCTGCCCCCAAGTGGCCAGCTAGGCAGCTTTAATATTAACACTTTGTTAGATTTGCATCCCAAACACTTGGATTTTGTAATAGTTAATGAAGTTCAGGATTCCTACTATCTCCTTGATGCTCAGTTGTTTCTCTTAAAACATCTGTCAAGTGTTTGTCAAACGCCCTCAGTGTTTAGACATGGTGGTGAATAAGATGGACAGAAGACGAGCAGGACAGGAAGATCATGACGTAAATATTTTAGACCAGAGACTGGCCACCCACTTCACAAAGTCTGCATCTCAGTGAAGTCGCCTGTCTGTTCACTATTCATTGGTTTAGTCAAGCTTTTCTCAGCTGCCTCCCAAACCGACAAAGTAATTGCCAGCAGGACAGAGAGATTTTGAACTCAGCATGTGGTTTCTAATAAGGTGTTAGTGGGGAATGAAAACAGTGCAATTTAGGACAGACTTAAGCCTGTCTGCTGGGTATGTAGTGTCTAATGGAGGAGCAAAACCAGAAGCAAGTGTATATGTGTGGACGTCATTGTGTCCATTTTCATACAATTAAGCTTGCGACTATTACAATTATTTCATTATTGATTAACCTTTTGATTATTATTTTTGTTACATCATTAAGTGTTTAATCTTTATAGTGACACAAGATGATCAATGTTATTCACTTTACCCTCCAGTGGTTTTAATGTTTTGGCTGATTAGTGTACGTATATATATATATATATATATATATGTATAATACTGCATCTTAATAATAAAAAGTATAAAGAGAGCTATATACACAATTGGAGGCTGGGCCCACTTTACTACGCATGAAGCCAAAAAAGCTGGATATGCAGTATGAAATTACCCACATCATCGACATCATAGTGTCCATAGAGGAGGTGCACTGGAGACTTCCGCCGGCCAAGCAGCCAACTTCCAGTTCAACCCTTCGCTAACTTGGATGGGGAAAAAATTGTTAAATTGTATGGCTCTTCTAGACATTAAAAATGTTATAGTAAAACGAGTCATTTCGCGGGGGTTTTAATATTAAAAAAATGTATCCACTGATTACAGATCTATTTTACTATGTAAGTCTGAGGAAAAAGTCTTCTTTGGAACTACAGCATCATGTGACGGATCCGGATGTTGTAATTCAATGTTTGGCTGTTTTGTGAAATTGACTCTAAAGTCTCAGGGCTGTTCTGGGGGCTTATCTTCATAAATAGTGATTTGCCACAATGTTAATGTTCTGAATGAATGAATGTTGCACACAGAACCTTTAAAATATTGGAGTGAGTTTACTAAATACCCTCCATGTGCAATCTTTTAAATGGTAAAATGCAAATTCCCAGTGTGAGTACAATGCAAAATCAGTGAAGTAGCACTACCCATACATGTCTGTACATAATTCTGTTCGTTTGACGTGTTTTTTTTTTATTTGTCTCCCAAGGTGGTGAGAGTGGATCTCACTGAGCTGACAATCTGGAAGCTTTCAGAGACATTGAACTACCCCAGTGCCTCCTATTAAATCTATTTATTTTCAAGAGTGCTGAGACCACACATCCATTTCTACAAGCTCACTTCTATTTTCGCATTCCAGTCATCCCAGACTGAGATCCTGTTTTTATTTTTTGCCTATGTTTTCTGTGTAGTAAAAAAAAAAACCTTACGGTTCTCAAGGTGCTGGACATTATCAGTGAATACTATAGTGTCGTGACCAAATGAAACGGTACATATTGAACTGGATCATAACACTAACAGAGGCAGAGTAGCTCTGTGTGTTTCTCCTATTGACAGTCTCCATTTCACAGTCACAAATTTTTTTTCAGGCTGAACATTCTTCTGTACTGGACATTCTTATTTTTGTCTATACGCCTTTTAAAACTGTGCTGCTATTTTGTACGTTTTTGTGTGAAGCAGACAGAGTGCATTTTCATAAATGACGTATGTAAAAAGTTTGTTTTTGGTTTGGCTGCATTTGATAGAGAAATCCTGCTTTTCCATAAATCAGCCATGTGACATACTTCATATGAGTCAATCAATATGACTGCAGTGTTTTCAGGATGTGTGATGTGGTAGAATCTGAAACTAAGCACGGTGTTGAGTTGATCTTACCAGCATCTTCAGTTTGGGTAATGACAGAACCATTGAGAGTGACTTGTGCGTGCATTGTGAGATATTTTTTCACTTACTTTAGACCTCCAGATGATACTGACTCTGTCCTGATAGTATTCAACATTTTAAAGGGGCAGTTCAGCCCAAAATTAAAAATACATCTTTTCCCCCCTCGCCTGTAGTGCTGTTTATCAGTCTAGATTGTTTTAGTGTGAGTTGCCGAGTGCTGGAGAAATTTGCCGTAGAGATGTCTGCCTTATATAATGGCACTAGATGACATTTTGCTAGTAGTGCTCAAAGTGCCAAGAAAATCATTTGAAAAACTGAACAGCATTGTGTCTTTCCAGAACTCATGACTCAGGATAAACCACATACCTTGTTGTGAGCAGTTTAATGTAGGAACTATTTACTTTTTACTGAACTACACCTACCAACCTTATCACCATGCAGAAGCAGAAGGAAGTGTGCATGCATCTACTGCTGGCTCACCTAACACCACTGAGCTAGCTGATGTTACAGCCCAGCCAAGAAGATTGCAATTAATATTTCCGTCTCACTCTCTCAGGAGCATGAGCCTCTCGTCCCTGACTGGATGCGTGTTCCCTTCTGCACGATTATACATTCGGCAGGTGTAGTTTGGTAGAAAGTAATTAGTGACTAAGTGAAAATTCCTCACACAAGGTCTAGGTCTAAACTGATACAGGTAAGGGGAAAAATTTAGTGTGAACTGTCCCTTTAACTTCTCTCACTAAATCTTTTATTTTTAGTCCTTATTTTCTTTTGTTATGGAAACCTTTGTAGCCGGACATGAAGTAAAATGTAATCACATTACAGCTGAACAAGAATCCTTCAGCATCCTTCAACAGCTTTCTTGTTTCCCTCTGTACCTCTGACAGTGCTGGATCATGAAGACAAACTGTGATAGAGACATAATATTTGTGTTTTAATATGAACATATGTTAAGCCTTCTGCTATAAGCTACAAACGCCTTGCTGCAATAACGGTCGTCTGCTCGTACTGTATGAGCAGTTTCCTTTTCCAAATGAGTGTAAATACTGTACACAGTGAAGCATTAACAGAGAATTGATGTTTTGTTTATGAAATTCAGATGACCACTACAGATTCCTGTCTGAGATTGTGTATTATTTTATATTTTATGTATCATTGTAAATCATTACTGCCAGAGGAAGTGTGTGCATCACAGCAAAATTCTCTTTTATTAGCAACTGAGATTATATCACATTGATTAGACTGTTGTATATGATCATTTATGATTTATTTACTGTGTTTGTGATTTCATGTGATGAGAAAAAAGCATTTCTTTCAGTGTGCCTCAGTGTGTGTCATGTAAACACTACAGTTGAAGGTGAAATGTCAATATTATTCCACATCCTGTTAAATGTCAGCTGTGTGTACATCTTTATGGAGTGTTTATAGCACTCAGCATTGACTGGATGTATGAAGTGGAGGAAGTAATAACCGGCCTGTGAGGGTAAAGTAACGGGTTGAGCACTTTAAGTGACAGATATAAACTTTTCTCGTTCATGTTCATTGTTGCACTTGCAGTGTTTTTGCCAATCAGTCCCTCCTGCCACAGTTGCAACTATTAAAGCTTTTCAGGAAGATTAGTTTCCCATGTTGTTTGCTTAGATTTCAAAAGAAAATTATCATTATTATTTTTTCTCATCTTTTATCAATGGTGCTTGTGAAATCATGGATATGATTTTTTTTCTTTCTCAGGTTCTTTGTCTTGTTTTTCATATCTGAGCAGTTTCTTTGTCTTTCAAGTGTCATTATTGAAAATGTTATATCTTAAAGAAGGCTCTAATAGTAACATCCCTTTTATCAACCTCAGCTCTTGAATTATCCTTTTATTTTGTAAATCTGTTTTCATACTTACACTGCACTATTAAAACATCTTTTAAAATGTCTGTGTTCAATGGCATATTTCTACAGATCACATTTCTTTTGAAGAAACATTGCAAATGTTGGTAAGATGTGTCAGAGTAGCAGCATTTCTTCTTTGATATGATTTGCATGTATTTGCTCTCATATCCAGACCATATAGTTGTGAACAAGTCTTTTGTGCAGATACAAATAGAAAGTTTGTTACTAGGGGGAAGTTCTTTTCCACAGACTGGATTTTTCATAAATGAACTCCTTGTTTCCACATAACTCTGTGTATGTAGTCCACCAGAAGTCTATTCATTCCTTTAAGAACCTCTGTGATCTCTGAAGTGTTTGTAAATTTACCACAAGTGCATTGAAAAAAACTGAACTTTTGCAGCAGATTATGGACAGATACACACTGTGCCACACTAAGTTAGCATAAAACACAAATATGCAAAAAGATTGATGAATGTAATACAGCTCTATACATTTTTTGTGAGTGAAAAGTTGGCGGTATGTATGTTAGCTGTGTAACAAAGACTGCATGCATTGCGGATCATACATCTTAAACTATCTCACAAAATTGGCTGCAGACCTGCTCAGCCAACCTCCTCACTTATCTGTCGCCATGCATTATTATTATGTCGCTGTACTGCTTCATGCACATATTTCACAAGATTGGAAGGTGAAAAACACTCAAAATTAACTTTTCTGTCATTTCTGCAGTAGTGTTTTTATCCATCCATAATGAGATGCTTTTCCTTGGGTTGAACACTAGGGGTGTACTGCGTATACTAATTCCGGACATAAAACAGTGGAAATGAGACGTTACTTATTCAAAGTTTGTATGCTTATAGGAAAAAAGCTCTTGGTTAGCCGGACACTTTTCTGCACATGGATAGTCCATACCTGTCCATCCAGAAGGAAGGCAGGTCAAGTATTGGTGGAGTGGATGACCTGGAACGTGTTATTGTGAGTGCTTTGTGGATCAGGAATCGGTTGATGCAATAAATCGGATAAGTTGGAATACCTATGAGGTTTCTGCCAAAATGAGTTATCTTTAAGAGTTTTTTTTCTCATTGGTGTCACAGACAATGGTACAGAAGAACTGGCTTGATAACACTATAGTACAGGAGAAGAAAAAGATGGGGTCGGACAGACTGGTGATTTTGTTTATGGATGCTGTAAGTCTCCGTTGACAATGCTTGCAAATTCCCATAGTATGCTGATTGAAACTGAGGTTATTGTATGTCCAGTGTGATACCAAGGTATCTAACAGACTCCCCTACCTCTACCTTTTCTTCTTTGATGGTAAGACCAGGGGGATGGACCGGTGTTTTGGGGAGGCTTAAGAGCAGTTCTTAAGTTTTTGAAATGTTAAGGTGGATAAATCTACTGTTGCAACATGAAATAAAATGCGATATGGTTGTTGATAGGCAGAGAAAAAGTCGTTATTGAGCAGTGTGACGATGGCTGTCTTCTGCATGTTTAAAGTACAGGGAAGCAGTGGATGGACTCTGACAATCGTTTGTGAAGAGGGTGAAGAGAAATGGACTGAGTATGCACCCCTGTGGAGCGCCGGTATTGAGTATAATGGTGCATGACAGTGAATTGTCAACCCTTTCTGCTTGTGGTCTTTCGGAGAGGAAGTTAACTTGAACTTGAATATGCTGTAATTTCTGATGCTGCTGGATTGTGTTAAAGGCTGAACTAAAAATCAGTGAAAAGAAGATTTATGCAAGGTGCTAGCTCCACCATCAAACTATTCTGTGAAAGTACAGGCTAACTGGAGGGATTATTGGAATATGATACTGTTGTGTTTTAGCCAACTAACTGTTGTGGCTTTGGTTGCTAGACTGCCTGTTGCATTTTATAACCACCAAGCAGAGTGGGGTTGTGGAATGGCTGTGTCAAATCACATATGTGGGGTGTCAGTGGCTTAGTGAATAGAGCAGGCGCCCCATGTACAAGGCTGCTGCTGCAGCAGCCCGGGCTCGAGTCCAGCCTGTGGCCCTTTGCTGCATGTCATCCCCTCTCTCTCTCTCTCTCTCTCTCTCTCTCTCTCTCTCTCTCCCCCTTTCACACTTAACTGTCCAATCAATTAAAGGCAAAATGCCCAAAAAAATATCTTAAAAAAAACAAAACAACATCACATATGAAATGTAGCCCATTAAATTAAGGTATTGCTGTAAGGAAGTAGTGTTTCATAACATCGTGGAATTTTTTGAGAGCACTATATAGTGGATACATTTTTACACAGGTAGAATTTGGACACTATAGTGCAGTATATAAACTAAGCACAAAAAGTAAAGTGTGTTTGGTAGATTATTTCTTTGTTGTACCAATGCTTCTTGGCAATAAATTTTATACTGTTGGAAAGCCTGTTTATTTCCCTTTTAAATGGTGTCATATTTGTAAGGAAGAAGAAAACAAGGGTGTTTGCTCTGTTATTACAAGTCCAAAGAAAAACTCACATCAGGTGCGTAGGCAAAAAATGTCCAGAAGAAAGCAGGAAAAGCTCGCACACTGATCAGAAAAATGGATTGTCCACTCCAGAGGTTGATGGATGTCAAGGCAGCATGTTTAATGGTCCATCAAAAATATATACAAAAATATATAACAAGTGCTACCATAATGTGAAAAACAAAAAGAAACAAAATGTGACAGAATGTGTGTGAATAGGGCTCTGGTTCTTTCAGCACAATCTATAATTGCATTGCATTGCAAGCTCTTCTCTGTGCACAGTTTTCATGGTGAAGCTGTTCTTTTTTTCTTTAGACAGCCATAATCAAATATGATTTATGAAGTCTTACAATGAAAAAAAATGTTTTCAGTTTATAACAAGAAAAACAAGGGCTGGCTATATTCAAAATCACTTCCTATTTACTAAACTAAGCACAAAAAGTAAAGTGTGTTTGGTAGATTATTTCTTTGTTGTACCAATGCTTCTTGGCAATAAATCTTATACTGTTGGAAAACCTGCTTATTTCCCTTTTAAATGGTGTCATATTTGTAATGAACATGCATTTGTGGGATGAGCAGTGGAGCTGAGTATGTGGGTTGTGCCCATGAAAAATTTGCCAGATCTTCTTTGCCAATGCCAAACAGCTTTTTTTTGCTGTTGCTATTGACTCTTGTTTTGAGCTTCTGGTACTCCCAGTGGTCAGTTGGTGTCTGCTCTAAGAATCGGCATGCCATGTTTGACTAATCTGGATAGGGCAACTTCAAGCTGGTGTTCCGCAAAACCTAGTTGTGGCATTATTTGGAGTGAGCCTGAGTACCATCTGCAAACTGAAGGCCAAGTTCCAAATAACGGGGGATGTCAGAGACAGGCTGCGAAGTGGGCGTCCCAAGCAGACGGCACCCCTCATCCTGTCAGCACTTAGGAACCGTAGGCAGTCTTCTACAGATTTGCAGTCAAGGTTTGCAGGGCTATATGGCCAACAGCTCTCTGACCAGACAATCCGGAACAACCTGCATGAAGCCAATCTCCAGTCTCATAGGGCTGCCAGGAGGCCTGTCATGACTGCCCACTGATAGAGTAACATCTTTTGGTGGAGGCAGTGTGATGGTGTGGGGCGGCATCTCCATCACTGGAAAAACGAGGCTTGTCATCATTGGAGGCATCTAAATGCAGAGAGATACCGAGATGAAATTCTGCAACCAGTGGCAATCCCATATTTCCACAGCCTGGGACCAAACTCTATCCTCCAAGATGACAACGCTTGCCCCCACAGAGTGGGGTTTATCAGACACTTTCTCCAACCTCACCTCAACCCCATTGAACACTTATGGGATCAGCTTGGGTTTTCTGTTCGTGCCAGAGGGACCAACACAACCACGTTGGCTGACTTGCGACAAATGCTGGTTGAAGAATGGGATGCCATCCCACAGCAGTGTGTGACCAGGCTGGTGACCAGCATGAGGAAGAGGTACCAGGCTGTTGTGGCGGCATATGGTTCTTCCACACACTACTGAGGCTTCTGTTTGTTAAATGAATAATATATATCTTATTTCTTCAGACTTCAATCATCCAATCCACCAAACAACGTCATACAAGAGTCAACAGCAAAAGAAAAAAAAAAAAAAAAGCTGTTTGGCATTGGCAGAGAAGATCTGGCAAATTTTTCATAGGCGCAACCCACATAGTCAGCTCTGCTGCTGGAAATAAACAGGCTTTCCAATGGTATAAGATTTATTGCCAGGAAGCATTGTTACAACAAAGAAATAATCTACCAAACACAATTTACTTTTTGTGCTTAGTTTAGTAAATAGGGAGTGATTTTGAATACAGCCAGCCCTTGTTTTTCTTGTTATAAACTGAAAACATTTTTTTTCATTGTAAGACTTCATAAATTATATTTGATTATGGCTGTCTAAAGAAAAAAAGAACAGCTTCACCACGAAAACTGTGCACAGAGAAGAGCTTGCAATGCAATCCAATTACAGATTGTGCTGAAAGAACCAGAGCCCTGTTCACACACGTTCACCTCTTCAGGGCCATTCATCTGCCACAAAAAGCACCTTCATTTCATTTTGAGATTTGTTTGAAAAGGATGCAATTCTCTTTCATAACGTTGGAAAACATTTCTTGGTTTGCTAAAGATAGGTTTTGTATTCCTCTCAGCATATAATGCTGCATGATGGCTTCAAATTCAAATCGAGGCCAAAAAAAAAAGGTATGTAGAATACCAGTTGAGCCTCTGAATGCCTGCAAACAATACATGCCTTGCAACCACATACATCATCAAATTTAGGCACTGACTAAATGTTAAAAAATCTGCTGTTACAAAAAGCAGCACACATTTTAGGACTTTTGGGTGTAGAATATATTTCCTTGAGGCATTTCATGTAGACCTAGTCTGTCCCTTTTAATCTTTTCATTGTCAAGTGGAGACTCAAGAGGATAAGGCTTTTCCTTGCTATTCTTTTTGTTCCATCCTTTTTTATACAGTAGAAATACCACTTAGGCTAAAAAACTGTCCCAGCTCTCCAATGCACAGCTGGATATGTAACTATCAAGCATTAGTTAAGCCCTTCTCATGTTTGTTAACCATTTTATGTTGGTTTTTTACTTTTACATCAAGCAGCTGTGAATCTTTCTAGCATGCAGTAGGCTACAATACAATACTGCACATGAGATGTTTATATCAAAGTCAAAGACAATTTCATGCCACATCTAACAGACGAGCACCTCATTATTGAGATATAAATGTTTTCTCAAGCTGTTTGTAATTACACACAGACGTGAACACGGGAGCAGATAATTCAAATTAGATGTGAGTCATAAATTAAGAGGCTTCAATATTACAATGAACAATCAACCTTGATTTTATATTTTTTCCCCTCCACTTTTAAGAGTTATCATCTGGCTGACAATATGATGCCATGCACAACACAATGGTTTAATTGACGGTATCTGACAATATTCAATTAGAGTGAGAGGGCATTCAAAGCTTTTATCTAATCAGGTTTAAACCTGTAGACATTAGTTCAGCTTTGTCTGTGAATGTAGAAGCAGTGATGTGTCTGGTTATGTCTGGGGAAGAGATTCTTATTTTTAAGGATGACAAACCAATGCTTTAAAGGTCCAGTGTGCAGGATTTAGGGGAATGTATTGTCAGATGTAAGATAATATAAAGTTTTTTTTAGTGTATAATCACCTCAAAATAGGAATCACTGTGTTTTCATTACCTTTGAATGAGCCATTTGTATCTACATAGGCAGCAGGTCCTCTTTCAAAGAGTCCACCATGTTTCTACAGTAGTCGAGAACGGACAAATCAAATACTCACTCTAGATAGGGCCATTCTCATTTTCGCATTGGATGCCGCAGTTAGCAGCTGAGCAGCGTCAGGAAAACACATATTTTAATACGAAACTGCTCCATGTCCATCTTTTAACTGAGACTGCAAATTATTCAATGTTTTTTACAAGTTTAAATCAACAGGTCTGTTTATTTTGGAGAGGAGGAAACCGCTGCGGATAATTACGCTTCGAGTAAAAACCTCCTGAATGTCTGGATCTCAAGTTATCAGAGAAAAAAGGTTAACACAGATGCAGGGCTAGCGGTCCATCTCTGATGAGCTAAACACTGTAGAAGAAACACTGATTTGATTCTCAGCAGCAGTTTGTGGAGTTTCAAGTGGTGGGTTGGATAACTGATGAGTTGATCTGATCAGAACAGATCAATGGATGAGAGGAGCAGCTGTTTGTGAGTGAAAGCAAACTTTTAGATCCAGCAGGATGAACAGTGAAGTTTCACTGTGCCTAGTATTCTGTTACTCCATCTGTGTCCAGAGTGGGCTCATCACTGTGAGAAAATGGAGCAATAAATAACCAAACAATATATATATATTCCAACAATGCTCCTAATGAACTGTGCAGCTCTAAAAATAGAAACCTCCTAACAATGAACATTAAAGGAATTCTAACCGGGAGAAGTTTCCAGCTTGTTGCAGTCTTCAGTCCTTACGTGACGTTTTATTTTCTTAATATAAACACAATCTCCATGAACTCAGTGGAAAATATGGTTACCTCACAGATGCAGCTATGTCTGACTTATTTCAGCCTGGTTCCTGTTTGAACTTTTCAACTTCCCTGCACTCATTGTTTTTAAATTTAAAAACTATCTCGTCCACATTTAACTTCTCTGTCCTCCATAAAGGCTTGTTCTCCCCCACTTTCTTACCATGCTTAAGGTGAAAGTCACTTCTACTCTGAATGTCACTCTCAGGTTCTCCAGTTTTACCTTTAACATAATCTCCAAACAAAACTAAAAGATTGTTAATCTCAACCAATCTGATTCATTTGGTCAGAGTCAGGCATGCTGTTTTAATTTTTTTTTTTCTTATCAGTTTCCAAGTTGCATCAGGTTTCATGTGTTGTAACTGTATTTCTAATCTCAGCTATAACTTGGAGTAAATCAAAGTGTTTCTGTGAAAAGGAGGTGCATTAGCACTGTTGATAAGAAATGAAAGCAGGCCTCAGCGCTCATGCTGCCTGTCGTGGTGTTTAATGTTTAACTGCCCTGCCCTCGTAGGTGGGAGGAGGAACTGTGTGTGAGTGGAGTGCTGGCTGACTCTTTGCTGAGACTGAGGTGAAACCACCCGACTATGGACAAGAAACAGAGAGGACTCTTGGGAATCCCAAAGGATCATCGGGAGGAGGAGATGAACCAGGCTTAGTGCCACACACTGGACTTGTGGTGATAAGACACTGAATGTTTAGAACACAGTTGGAAGTACTAAAGAGTCCTCATAATTTCTACTGAGGAGTGTCACCTACCGTGATTTGGAGTTTACCACCCACTGGGATACCCTCCTTGAGGAATCAGACATAATTCCAGACAAAGAAAAGTCTTGAGTTGTGATCTTGGAAATCGTCTCACTTGAGGCTCTTGGCTCTAATCACAGAGACTGTGCTCAGCAGAACTGATAAGCTAAAGGAAAAAAATCAATACCTGGAAAATCAGAGCTCACCATTCCGTAACCATGAGTGAGGAAATGGAGATAGCAGACAAGAAGGACTGGAGGGAGCTTGAACCCAACTATTCTCTCAAAATCTTCCTGACATTCTTTTACAGCCTCATTTTGGTGACAGGTATCATGGGTAATTCAATCACTATCAGAGTGACACAAGTGCTGAAGCGTAATGGCTACCTGCAGAAGAACGTCACCGACCATATGGTCAGCCTGGCATGCTCAGACTTGTTGGTGCTCCTCATCGGCATGCCAGTGGAGCTCTACAGTGCCATCTGGTTCCCGTTTTCATCTGCAGAAGGGAACGCTGCCTGTAAGATATACAACTTCCTGTTTGAGGCTTGCAGCTACGCCACCATCCTCAATGTAGCCACTCTTAGCTTTGAGCGCTACGTGGCTATCTGCCACCCGTTCCGCTTCAAAGCCTTGGGTGGGAAACGTACCTCTGCCCTCATCACCTTTGCTTGGCTGGTGTCCGTGCTCGTGGCTCTGCCGTTGCTAGTTGCTACGGGAACGCAGGGACACATTCCCTATCTGGCAGATACACCTGTTCAGAATCTGACTTTCTGTACAAATCTGAGGGAGCGCTGGGTGATGTACAGGGTTAGCATCTTTGTGGCTTTCATCGTCTATATGATCGTGTTGATCTGTGTGGCCTTCATGTGCCGGGCCATGGTCCTCGTCCTTCGGAAACCTTTAGGATCTGTGGATAGTGGCATCAGCGGAACTCAAAGAGCGCACAAGCACGAAGGTTCAAAGGTTAAGACAGCCAGGAAGCAGACCATCATTTTTCTTGGTAGGTTGTTGGTTTAATATCTCAAAAAATACATTTTAGAGCTCTCTGTGTGTCTGTTTGTATTGTGAGAATACTGTCCAGTTTTGTGTCCACATTAACAGCAGAAATCTCTGAAATGATTGACAGAAATGTTACCAAGTGTTATTTTTTTTACATCATGTATGGTGGTGTGGGTGACTGTGTGATGCTGATATATTACTACCATTGCCCAGGTTGTTCACATGTGTCAGACAGCCTCTTCATCTGTTTATGCCAGCAATTAAAACACCACACTGGCTCTGTGCCACAAGTGGAAGTGAGAAAGAATACATTTCCAATGTTATGACCATTCAAATGATTGATTACACACAGACACACAGACACACATACACATGCTGCTTTTGTTAAGGGTGTGCTCTTGAACTGAAAGTGCAGATAAACCATCTTGTGAATAGTAAGTATTGCTGGTTTGTTTGTACTTAGAGATATGCTCAGCCTCAGTCCAACCATGCTGTCCAGTCAAAATTGGTGATACAGGACTGAAGTTACAAAAAATATGACGCGCATGCTGTCATAATTGTTAGTAACTTAAGTCCTGTATCACCAAATTTTGACTCGACAGCATGGGTGTCATACTTTCAGTAATTAAGAAATTTCAGTAGCTGTGGACACCACTATTTTCAATGTCAAGGGGCTCCATGTCCATGTTTTAACTGAGAAAACTCAGAAAAAAGACTCCCACAAAACTTAGTATCAAAATGAACAAAAACAACACTGCCATGAAAAATTAAATAGCAGAGAGACACCTCACAAAAGACCTCACAGACAAGGACTCTCCCTCCGGGTGGTCAGGTATGCAATGAATGCTGAAACAGCCAATAGTAGGCCAATCCAGATAAAACTTTAATAACAGGATTTTCAGAATAAACAGAATGTGAACACTGGGGTGGACATCCTGAGGACATCACCACTGTCTTGGTCCAGTGGACATCAGCTAGCATTGGACACAAGTAGGGAGGGACTCAGAGATGTTAACGGATGCTGATATGCCCCACTGCAGACAGGCTGACATGAAAGGAGATAGGAAATACAGCAGACAAACTCCCAAAGTCCCTTAGTCATACAGCAGGATGGTCACAGAGAATGACCACATGAATAAACATACACTGATAGGAAGCAGGACACACAGAAACTAAAATCCAGACCCTGGAGAAGGAAGCTGTTAAGATTAACTGGCTGTCATTCCCTGTTTAATATACAGGTGTATATTAGTCAAAACTATTTCTTAGTGAAGGAGTACTTCATCTGCAAAATGGCCATTTGTATTTCAATTTATCACCACTTGTTACCACCACTTGAATTTGTGAGGAAAACTTTGTTTTCCAACATGCCTCCAAGGTGAACAAAGAATCCAGTCAATGAAGCCAGCCTCAAGTGGCCTTTCAATAAACTGCAGTTTTGGGCACTTCTGTGGTGGCTTTATTTTTCAGCTCTGGTGGCTGCCGCTTGGTACAAACAGTCTTATACAGAGCCGAGTAGCGTGCCTAGGCACATGTATGCATTTGAACTCAAGCAGTGCACATGTGCATGCGTGTGCTCAGACACACTCAGGGCACGCCACTCGTAGGCAGTATTGTTTTATATTGTAACTTTTTTGCGGAAATGCATGTGAGTAAAACTGGATAAATAATATAATGAATGAATGAATGATTATACTGCACGAGTCCTGTGAGAATTTGTATATGGATGTTTTAATATAGTTTAGCTGTTGGTCCCCAATGATTCAGTTCATAAAGAGTGTTTGCCTTTTTTCTTCATGAATTCAGCAAAACACATGGTGAGTAATTGATATACAAATAGTGATTTTGTGGATGACGCATTCTTTTAGTAAAAGATAAAGGAAGGGAATTTTTTTTCCCCCTTAGCTCTGTTAAGCATGCTAGTGTCTTTCAGCTCATTGTTTTGGTTTTTCAACCCATAACTTGTTCTGGTTCACTCCCAAAGCTCTCATCAACCTTGTTGTCAGCAGAGTCAGAGAGCTGCAGCCACTGTACACTACCTCCATTCACCACATGGAAAACAGACAAAGTTAACAATTACCTGGTGAACAAAGTGAAGCATTTAGCAGCTAAAGAGCCAGACATTTTTCTCAGGAGTTGTCAGAGATCAAACAGAGCTGATAGGAGGGTAAATGCTTCTTACATTTGTCAGGTGGCCAGGAACACAACTCCAGATGAATGCTAATGTTGTTCTGCTGGCTGTGTAAATAGGCAGTTGTTATAACAACTTTATGTAACTTATTCTGCTGCCTCCAATTGGCCAAAGAGAAAAAAAAAGAAAAGGGAGAAAAAAAAATCAAATAATGCAGCTTTAATTTAGCAGAAATTTCTTCAAGAAAAGGAACCAACCGATATAAAAAAAAAGAACTTAATTTATCATAAAGCTTGTGTTCACGTTTAAAACAATCATTTCAGCTTTTAGTTCTGGTTGTTTAAAAAAAAAAAAGAAGTGAAAATGGCTGTTAGCATTATTACATGATAAATGTTCTCAAGTGTACAATACAGGTACATGTATGCCAATGGAAACTAACCAGATTGCTCTTTTAATTCCTTTCTTTCATCAAGAGTAAAATGCACAGCCTGTTTGAATTACATTAGAAAACCTGCCTCTTTAATTGCAGAAAAGAAAGTGTTCTAAAGAAAGACAGCATGCTGAGAAAAGGCTCTGCTCCCCGCAGCTTTGTGATACCTGTCATCTACATCCCAGCTGCTACCTGCAGCTGATGACCAGCCAAAACATTTTTTAAATTAAGGTGTGTTACAAGCAGGTGTTTTGGTTTTTATATATTTGCAAAAGGATCTGGGACACATTAATGAGGCAGCATATAATAGTCAAATTTCCTTGTTTTGGCACAAAAGTACCAAATCATTCTCATCCCCAAGTCAACAAGACTTTCATCCAGGAGACCACAGTCTGTGTCCCATATAAAACAAAAGTCAGTGTTGTTTTAACATATTGTTATGTAACTTAATGTACCTAAATCCTGTTTGAAACATGACATAATTTGTGTACTATATTCGTGCACATCACTTTACATTTTATAACAAACCTACTTCACTCATTCTTGAGAATGGGACAAAACCTTACTTACTCTTAAAACACTTACTCTTTTTTAAAGATATTTTTTGGGGCATTTTCAGCCTTTAATGGATAGGACAGACAAGTGTGAAAGGGGGAGAGAGAGAGGGAGTGACATGCAGCAAAGGGCCAAAGGCTGGAGTTGAACCCGGGCCGCTTCAGCGACAGCCTTGTACATGGGGCACGTGCTCTGCCACTAAGCCACAGACACCCCAAAACACTTACTCTTCAATTATGCTGAGAAAATACATTTTAAAAGATCAAAGTCTTGACTATTAAACCTTGAAATGGGCCAACCTCCCGGCGATTTAAGTTTTTCTTAAATAGCATTCATAATGGATGTCAGAGGTAAGATCTGAGGGAGTTGATATCTTATGGAGTTGACCAAAAATTATAAATTTATTTATTTCACAGCAGTTGTAGTGAGTAGCCATTTTACTTTTCAGTGTTGTTAAGATGTTTCTTAAAACCAATCAAAATACTAATTTGTAAACCATAATTGTCATTTAGTTTTTATCTTTAAGGGCAATGGAGTTGACCTGTTATGGTTGAGAAACACCGAACAGCAATATTATTGCATAGCATTCCCGCCTTTTTGGAGACCAGAAAGGGAGACAGGAGTCCTCAGGATATGGCTAACTCCTTTTTTGCCTGATTAAATCATGTTTTTAAAAGAAATCTGATGGAGCTGACAAAAATCTGGGACTCATCTTTAAAGGACAAACATTTTCCCAAAAATGTATTTTATGTATTTTAAAGGCTTTTAACACATTTTTAATTGTTTGTAGTTGTGAGTTCTTGTCTGGGACAAGGCTGGTATCTTGCACAGGGCACGCTTAAATTTTACAAAAATGAAAGCAGATCAAAATATTTCAGAAATAATATTTTTTCCTACATGAATCCTTTAAAAATAATGTTCCACATTGGAAACGACATTAGTGTGTTGATAAGTTAGAATTTCAAGGTTTTTATTTTTTGGTAGGACATGATTTTTTCCAAGAATGGTGACCAACATGATATTTTTTTCTAAACCTATCCAAGTCGTTTAGTTGCCTAAACCTAACCTCAATCATTTCATAACAATAACTATGTGTTACAATGTGTTCTAGCTGCTCATCACATTCAGTTGCTAAAGGGTGCCCTGTGTGATGCTACGAGATGCCAAGGGGCTTGGAGAATTGAAGGTATTTGATGACCTTGGCTTCCCAGACAGAACAGATGACTGATAATGGTGTCAAACATGATCCCATGTGATCACATATATTATCAGATATTTTCACCAGACACTGGACCTTAAACACAGTGTTTTCACTTTGGAAACAAGCTTCAATCTGTTGTTACACATCTATTTTTTGGGCTACTTCTCTGCATTCCATCACCACACATCCTGTGTGTTTACTGACACACATACAACCACTCTTTGTTCAAACACAGTCACTCATGATGGATCAGTCTGACATTGACTGTAAACCAAATACAACTACAACTAAATGGGTCTGAATCACAGCATTGGAACTCACTGTGTACTTTTACAGCTTATTCTCACATTTCTGAGGAATTTATTCTATAACCTGGCTGGCTGCTAAATTGCAAGGTCAGTGAAACACACGCAGTTGTTACTTTTGTGTTGTATGAGATTTTTCTTTAAACACTAAAGGTTTGCACAGTTGGATAATCAGTGGGATACAAAACAAGCACTTTCCTATGTTGCCTTGAAATGAAAACAGATGCATGTGAAACAGTAGACCACAACCTCTGGGAATACTATACTTTTAAAGTGAAATGCCCCAAACTTTTAAGCCCAGTAAATTATTGACAGGTGTTTTTTTTTCAAATTTTTGAAACTTATATTTTCTTTTCAAACTGTGAGTCGGTTGAAGCTC